GGGTGGGACCCGACTAGTAACCAATGCCAAATCCGGCGAAACAACTGGCCGCTGTGATACAATTGTATAATAATATCAGTTACAAGTTAACCTCTTTTGGTCAGAGAATGAACGGACATTTACCATGAATGCTGGACTATGTGATCTTAAGTTTCCCAAGTTTTATACAAAAATCCCACAAACAGTAGCATACATTCTTTCATGTCCAGAGCTGAAACAATTTAGGAACAAGGCTGAAGAGGTTCCCAAAATTAAAAATCATAATTACACAGGTAGTAAAGTTTCTGTATGAAAAACTTCTATTAAATATTATGATCCCCTCACAAATCAGATTTTAAAAACATTTCCCATATCCTGGATGGAAAATGAACCTATACATGTTCCACACCTATCTAGGAACCTTAGCTCTGGTGGAAACAGGAAGAAAACAAGCTGAAATCCAGTCCATATCAAAGTTCTTCAATTCACCATACAACCATGGTTCAACAGTATCTCTCTTGCTTGCTTGACCCTGTTAAGGAGAATGGTACAAATTCAAATCACCATAATACAAATGAACTATTTCAACAAAAAGATCATAATATTTGGAATATAACTATTCAAAGAAATGCTGTAAATGCTTTATTTCATCATTGAAGTCACATCAATCACAGCAGGAAAGTGACTTTCAATTTAATCTATTTAAGAGGAAGAGTCAAAAATCTCTGGGTCCCATACTGCTAATTGTTTAGAAAAAGAGAATCCAAAGAAAATAAAGAAAAAATCAATAGTAAACGATCAGGGTTTCTTTAAAAAAAAACCTTTTAGGGCTAAACTTTACCAAACATGACTCTGTTAAGAAATGCAATAGGAAACAACCACCCAGAAGTACAACTCTAAAAAAAAACTTTTTTAAAAGGAGCCTTAAATCATCTATTCTCAGGCACACTCAAAGCTACAAGAAGAAATCATCTTCAGAAAGAAAGAAAAAACCTGATATTCAAAAACTGACAATGTTAAGGAAATTGAAAAGAACATTTTTGAACGCTGCCGCTGGAAGAAGAAACACTGCAGCTGCTCCAGAGAAAAGGCAGAGTGTCATTGTTAAGGACTTCTATAGTAAAGGAATGGAAAGTGACCAGAGACAATAATCTTCTTTGCACTGTGAAATAATATCGCTCAGATCACATATATTTGCTTTCTGTTTGTCTTTAAGAGGCCTGGAAAAGAAGAAAAGTGGGAGTGGCTTTTCAAATATATATCACAATTAGAAATGGTATAATTCCATGGTTCAAGTAAGAGTTGCACATTAGTAAGCTAATATCAAGTAGTTCACATTGCTACTTTGTAAGTGTTCTGCACATTTACATGTTGAATTAAAACTATATTTTAAGCAGTTAAACACTCAATTTTGCAGTGGGATTTTTAATTGTTAATTTTCTAGGTTTATTTTTTTATAGCAGCTACAGCTGTGATGTATTATTCAAAGGTAAATGAAAATTAGGTAAATTAAATACATTTTCAGTTAGTGAGTTGAGGTTGGCATTGTGAGTTGCAATTGAGCAATAATCATTTCACTGCTTTTCTAATACACCAATTTTTCTCCTTCCAAATAAAAAAAAATATCACATTTTCTTTGTCCACTAGGACAAAATCTAGATCCATCTCAAAGTTATTATTGTTTAGCCAAGTACCATCTATTCTATACCTGTGCAGGGGAAGGAAAATATGGTGAAAGAATAGCCATATGCTTTAGAAGCTTATTCTTAGCCTTTCTTAATTCATTTTTAAAAGCTTTTTTTGCTTTTTATTTCATCCCATTTTGTTCTATTTTACTTTCATCTTTCTCTCTCTTACTGGAGACCTTCCATTTTATTATTTTACTGAAAACTGGTATTTTTTATCATCTCTTTCATAGCGGAAAGGAAGAAGAGGAAGAGTCTATCCACATTCTATCTCTCAGACTTCACTTAAGCCTATCAAACATCTCAACATTAATGGATTTCTAAAAATCAAACAGTCACTTGTCTTAAGTAACCAACCCCTTCCACATTTTCTGATAGTTCCTCAAATAGATATAACCCCTGGAATGGGATTTAGAAGCAGAAATAGAGAATTCCCCTACTCTTAGATCTTTCTATCCCAGAAAAACTTCCCCTTCTCAAATTACAGCCATTTGTCCAACTGTCACTAGGTTTATACAGCAAGCTGATGCCACCTTAAAAACCAAAAACAGTACGATTTTATAAGTAGGCAATATCTATTGATACAAATAGTATTGTCAAGTTTCAAGCTCTTATCTACCGTTAATAAAGTGAACACTTAAAGAGTCTTTCATTATGAATAAACACAGTCATCCAAACATTGCTGAGCTAGTTAAAATAAACTCATATAGAGGCAACTGTGTTTCAAAAGTAAGTGATGGTAAAAAGGTAGATTCTAATTTGGAACAACCTGAGACCAAAATAAAACATAGAGGAACATGCAAGGCAAGTTCCTCTACCCAGGATGTATTGGATCAAAGACTTGCAAATCATAATATTTAGAGCCAAATCAAACCACTCTACAAATTCAAAACCAGAAATGCAATCATCATCTTTCTCGGGCAGCTTTTAAAAGGCTATTGGTTAACTTGAAAAAAATTGAATGACTTTTTGAAAGGCTATTGGTTAACTTGAAAAAGATTGAATGACTCCCATACAGGGGAGACTAAACATATCCTTTTTATTTCAAACTTTCTATTATTTCCAGCAGGCTGCTCAAAATGAAGCCTTTGCCTTGCAAGTTTGAGATCTTCCCATTGCTCTGTGTTTCATATATAGGGAGTCAATTCATTAATGACTAAACTTGGAAAAAAGTGATTCTACATGAAAGTTAGTAATAATATAGTAATAATATAAATAATAAATAAAATTTAAAGTCAGTAAAAAGTAATAAAGTAAAAAGTAATAAAGTTAGTAACTAAGGATGTTCCACCTCTACTGTCCTTGGGAAGTGTCAGCCTGAATAAAACCTGAACCTCCCACAAGTCAATTCTTTGAAGGAGTGTTGGAGATAAACTTGATTAACTAGGTCATTACCCTGTCAGATACTGAACTGATGGGTATTACAAAAAGCCAGGCAATTTGAGAGATCCAGATGTTCCTGACGTTTCCTGCCTACATAGACGTCTAAAAACTAAAGTATCAGGCCTAAAGTTTTCATATACTGGTAGAGGATCCATTCAATGGACTTTGATAAGATTATCTAAAATATGCCTAAACAGAACAGATAAGTATGCTCCAATCCATCTCCTGGGTCAATCAACTTTTTAAAGTTATTTCACAACATGAATTTTCTTCCCAGCATCCTCTCTCAATGACTTCCCAGACAAGGAAATTTTTGAAGAGTCACAGTTATTAGTGCTCAAATTGACATGGAGTTGTTGACTAAAAATAGATCCCTTAATTGGTTGACTAAGAAACTATTTTTCAACCTAAAAAATACCTGGCACTGAACCCAATATGAAATTGTGATAACATATCATGGATATACTATAAAACATGAAATAATAGTAAATCCTTTATCTGTTGCAGATATTTTTCATGTGCTTCTTAACTACAAATTATAGGAAACATAAAGACTCTGGGAAAAATACTGTGGCATTTTGACTTTGAGCTAAAAAACAACAAATGAATTCAGACACATAGCAAATTAGAAAGAAATTTAAGAAAGTCTTTTTTCAGTTCTAATGAAAATCTTCTCAGTCTAAGAAATTGTTTATTCTATTTTTATCATAGTGCTGGACCAAAGGGAGACAATATTTATGAATGGAGATCAACTATACTTGGCCCTCCAGGTTCTGTATATGAAGGGGGAGTTTTTTTCCTTGATATCATGTTCTCTCCAGACTATCCATTTAAACCACCAAAGGTAAGAGAAAAGAAAAATTAACATGGTTCTCTAATCTGTTCATATCTAATTACATAGAAATTATTGGATTTAAGTTAATTATAAATAATTTGCTTCATAAATTCCAATTAGACTAAAGCATTAGTAATTTAGCATAGATTTCACATTTCTTTTCATCAATACTTCTGACTGAAGTTACAAACTACATTAATATAGTTTAGGGACAATAACTGTAACTCTAAATTCCGTTTTTGTATAGAAACCAGATGATTCTCTCATTACAATTTCTAAAAATAGGAACATTTCCCACTATTTTGAGTCACCATGTATTATAAAATAATATGTTAATCTAAAACATGATGTTAATCTAAAAACTTGAATATCACTATTTAAAAATAAATAAAATTGCCCCGTGCTTCCTTCCTTTGGAATATTTTAAAGAAAAATGAAAGTTTTATACTTGATTTGTCTGAGGTAAGGAACCATTCATCCTACATAATGTCTCCAAATCTTAGTTACTATTACAATCATTGATTGCAGTACATTCTAATTCCTTTCAGATTTTATTTTATTATATTTAAGTTCCCCATCCCCCTAACATTGCTTAGTTATTTGATTATTTGATGGAAGCATTATTTATTTTTATTTAGTTGTATTCACTTCTCTCTCTCTCTCTCTCTCTCTCTCTCTCTCTCTCTCTTTCTCTCTCTCAAAGCTATCACAGCCTACACATTGAAAATATGAGTAATATATAAAATATAAATCTTTTCCAGGTTACATTTCGGACAAGAATTTATCATTGTAATATTAATAGCCAAGGAATAATTTGCTTGGACATTTTAAAAGACAACTGGAGCCCAGCATTAACAATATCCAAAGTCCTTCTCTCCATCTGTTCACTTCTTACAGACTGCAATCCTGGTAAGACAAAACAAATTTACAAAATATATTGTAATTTAGCTTTATGGTGGCTGTAGCGTTATTTTTGTTTCTAACTTTAAAAAGTGAAAGGACCTCTCTATCCTACTTCACCAAGAAATACTATATTAAAATAACTTATAGTATTTGAGTATTCACACAGAATTTGTTGCATTCCACTATTTAATATCCAAGAATATATTTTCATAAGTTGATAGAAAAAATAGCTAATCAGAAATAAATGCATAAGATATTTGAGAAATACGTAGTTATTGTGTCATCAGAAATGGAAAAGATGTGGCATTGCAATGAAAAGTCTATTTTGTATATAGATGTACATACAAAATGGGCAGGTTTGCATAATGATATTATTTGCCATCTTTTTGGCAGAGTACATTTCTGCCTAAAAGGTTAGATTATAACTAGGTTAAGATAACTGTAGCTGAGTTAAAATGAACATCCTGCCAAAACTCCTGTTCTTATTACAAGTAACACCAATAAACTTAGGAGAAAAATTCTTTACGGACCTAAACAAATTAATAACACAATTTATTTGGTTAGGGGGAAAACCATGGATCAAATTAAAATTACTACAAGACAGTAGAGAGAAAAGAAGTTTTGGATTCCCAGACTGGGAGCTCTATTACCAGGCAGCAACTCTTACCTGGATAAGGGACTAGATCTAGAAATAGGCTGGCATGCTTTCTTTGGGATGCGAAAAATAAAACACATAGCTATTTCCAAAGGCATCAAATTAGAAATACCTTACTGCAAACATGGTTAAAAAATAAAAGAAAACATAATTAAATTCCAATTTGGCTATCGACTATGGAAGTACTAGTCTACCCAAATGTACTAGATATAAATAAAATAATAAGCTATGAAGATTTATTGGACAACCAGGAGAAATTAAAAACAAGACAAGAATTAAAAAATCAGGGTATAGATATAGACTGGTGGCTATACATACAGATACAGACTACGTATAAGAAGGACCTAGAAACAGACAGATTTTACAAAGAACCACAAGAACTAGACAAAATTTTACAGGGGATTGAAGAAAAACTGATCAAAAAATATACCATTATTTATTACGATTCAAAATGGAAGAAGTAGTGCAAGAGACCATGATAACGTGGACAACAAACTTTGGATACAGCATAGAATTAGCAAAATAGGAAGGCTTCTGGGAAATAAATTGCAAGCTAACAATGGCAACAGGAAAATTTGTACAAGCTGTTCTACAGATGGCACCTACCACCAGCAAGAATAGAAAAATGTTTCTGGAATGTTCACCTGAGTGCTGGAAATGTAACCAGGCACATGGAACTTTTTATCATACGTGGTGGATGTGTACAACAGCAAAAAAAATATTGGATAAAAATAAAAAACTGGCTGGAAGAGATAATTACACAACCAATAGAATTAAAAGCGGAATTATTTTTATTAGGAATAATTACAGGGAACTATGAGAAAAAAATCAAATAACTAATACTATATGTAATAATGGCAGCAAGAATAATATACACACAAAAATGGAAAAACAAAAATACACCAAAAGAAGAAAATGTGATTTAAAAAAGTACTAGAATGCGTCGAAATGGACAGACTCACAAAGGAAATAAAAGACAAAGAAGAATCTGAATACTATTCAGTATGGAATTTATGGTACAAATTGCTAGAGGAAAGATGCAAAGATGCAAAGAAAGAAAGAAAAAAGAAAGAAAGAAAGAGAAAGATAGGTAGATGGATNCGTTGAAATCAGGACGTCTGGTCACCTTAACTATATATCCAGTTATAATCAAACTCTCTATTTTGCAAACATATTGCAAGATACCACTTTATGTATTCTATTACATATACATTATAGTAGTCCAGTGTTGCCAAGTTTATTAGGGCTATTATTCAATAATTTTCAGCCAGGTGACTGAAGAAAGAATCAGTAGGATAAAGATTACAAGAATCTCATAGCCTTACCTGCTATGACAGTATAGATTACTATTACCACTTTGTGATAAATTCACCTTATTGTCTGAAATTTCTATCTATAGCAATTCATAATTGCTTTTAAAAATATTAACTGGAACCATTGCATATGGTTAAACAATAAGCAAGCACTATGGAAATTATATTTATTGAATCAATAATAAATCACACAATAATAAAACACACCATTAGGAAGGCACCACATACACACATCTGTCAGAGTAGGCCAAAGCACATATTCCCTGAAAATAGGCTCCAACATGTGTGCAAAAGCTCGGAAGAATAAATCTCTGGTCCCAGTGACTGACCCAAATTCGATTTCAAAATAAAAAATCATTTTTGCACTTTTATATTCACTCATCCTAAATAGATATCTTAGCTGCAAATTCTTTTAAGTACATTTATACACTAAGGCTTGTTTACTATTAGTCATGCATAATTTCCTACACTTCAATTCTCTTAGCTGTAAAACTAAAAGTACTCCACCCCACCCCACCCCCTTATTTTTGTGAGTTGGTTTATGAGTTAACTTTTCTGGTTGGTTTAAACATGTAATTAGACATGTAAAGCTCCAAGTGTTTGTTAATAGTTTTCAAAAAAAAATTGACAAGGGGAACAATTGTTTTAAGTCTCTCTTCTTATCCTCAGTTCTCATATGATGCTAAAGAGAGGCTTCACTATCTGGGGCTGTCCACAGAAAATGTACAGATGTTTTTAGTAGCAGCATCTTTCACTGCACAAAGAACTACTGTTCTGAAAATCAGAATACCATTTAATGAAATCTAGATCCCTATGTAGCTAAATTAAAATGCTCAACAGTTTCAGAGCAACTAAGGAATATGATGTGAAAAGTGGGGAGAATTGGGTCCTCTTTAGCCTGCTAGGAATTTGAGCATTAAATAGCAATATAATAACAATGGTCCCTATCATGGGTAGTGATATAAGATCCACTGAAGAGAGCCCTTTTCTGTGTTAACTGTTTTGCAGCTGTGCGCATGGATTTCTGTAAGTATACTGAGTGTGTCAAGACAGAATTGTCCCAGCTATTTGCCTTTGTGATCCTACTGCTCTATTATTCTAGTAACAATGTTGGTATTTTTCTGACTTCCTACAGTAAGTATTTGTAACTCATCTAAATATTCCCTTATTACATATTTTATCCCTAAATAACTGTGAAGCAAAAAATGAAGAAACCAGCTTAATTTGTCTATGTTAGTTCAATTTGATTCTCTACATTGTACATTTAGTAACAGCCTAGAAAAATATCAACAGCACTTTTTATGTATCGGTCATAAGTGATTTCCCAATAGAAAATGATGATGTCCTTGGGTTCATATTCAAGTGACATGTTGAAGCAAGTACAGGTAGTCCTTGATTTATAACAGTTCATTTGGTGACTGTTCAAAGTTACAAGGGCACTGAAAAAAGTGACTTATGACAATTTTTCACACTTATGACTATTGCAGGATCCCCATGGTCATGTGATTTACATTCAGATATTTGACAAATGACTCACATTTATGACAGTTGCAGTGTCCCGGGGTCATGTGATCCCTTTTGTGACCTTTGGAAAGCAAAGTCAATGGGGAAGCCAGAGCCACTTATTGCAGAAAAAACAAATATATATCCAGGAAGCCAAAAGCAGCTTGTGTCAGTTTTGTAACCTACCAGCAAAGTCTAGAGTGTTCCATGGGAATCTTACTATTATTGGATCTTCCTACCAGAAAGGATTTGGTCATGTTACAGAAAGTTCTGGCAATTCAAAAATGTTCACCTTTCTGTACCAAATTTGAAATATTAATCACAGTCAAGCCTGATTTCCGACAAAACGTCCTGGCAATAAATTGGAAGTAGATATGCCAGATACAAGCATGGTTCTATAGTGCATAGCCTTGTGTTTAATCATTAAATCTTAAGATATAAAAAAACAAGTTGATGTTTTTTTTAAAAAAAATCTTAGACAAAAAAGCCCACATATTGTTATTCATTTCACTTCTGGCCTTGCCTCACTTCAAACACAAGGTTACTACACAAGGTAGACTGGTCGTTACTTCTCCATGGTAACTAAAACTTTCTGCATACCCAAATAAACAATTGCTTCAATTCAATACACAAGGTGATTTAAAAAAAACATTTTATTTAATGAGAGTTCAGCAATCAAAAAGCATTTAAGATTGTGAAATGCATGGATGGTGTAGCTTCTTGTCATTTTGTGTAAATGTCATTTCTGTTTTCTGAATTTTTATTGGAATGTTTTGACCTTAAAGCATTATACAATAAAGCAGTACAGTAATTTAAATTTAAAACAACATAGAACTGGAATAATAGAATTAAATTAATGAGAAATTTGTTTTGCAGAAAAACAGAACAATCATTTTGGCAGTGTTAATCCTTGTTAACATCACAGGTATGATTCATATCATATTTCTTATACAGTTATCTCAATTATTTTACACTTCAGTGTAACAAGAAAACATTTTAAAATCATGTTTGTTCTTTGCAGAAATCTGAACATCATTTTGGGAAACAAGTTAAACTTTCAGGAGCTATCTTCCAGAGAAACATGTGCACGCATGCACACACAGGCACACACAAATTCTCCTCATTCTTAGATTTTGTTGTGGGAGGCAGGTCTAAGTGCCATGAAAAGCACAATATTTGAAGTCATTGGATCAACATATGTGCCTAGCAAAAGCCACAGATATCATTTTTTGCAGTTATACAAATGGCATAATTCATGACATTTGTACAATGAAAATAATATTTTACAGAGAAAGGAACAAGAGTTGAGAGGAGACATTGATAAGGCTTAATATTCATTAAAAGGGAACATATTAATTTACTTGAAGGAGGTGGTGGTGAGGCCCCTCCTTAAGAAAACTTCCCTGGACCCAGCTTCTTTAGCCAACTATTGTCTGGTCTCCAATCTTCGCTTTGTAGCGAAGGTTGTCGAGAGTGTGGTAGCACATCAGCTTCCCCAATACCTGAATGAAGCTGCCTACCTGCATCCGTTTCAGTCAGGTTTCAGGCGCAGGTACAGCACAGAGATGGCATTGGTCGCATTGGTTGATGATATCTGGCGGGCCCGGGAGAAGGGCTGCTCCTTTGTCCTGGTCCTATTAGACCTCTCAGCGGCTTTCGATACCATCGACCATGGTATCCTACTGCAACGACTCAGAGAGTTCGGAGTGGGGGGGCACTGTTTTACAGTGGTTCTCCTCTTACCTGTCGGATCAGTCACAGTTCGTGTTGACTGGAGAACAGGGATGGACCCCGAGGCGCATCANTAACTGCAGCTGAGTTTGAGATCTATGAGAGCCAAGATCAAGCTGACATCAGGGCCTGATAACCAGGCTGAAATCCAAAGAAAATCAAAACGTGGTTGGCAACCAGGATCTTTGTGACAGCAGTGACCGAGACAAAGGCCTGGCACACCAGGAATGGGACCTAGAGACGGCAGTACTAGACCAAGTGGGAATTTGGTGACTCTCAATAGAGAGTCTTCTAAAATTCCCCCATATAAAGACAGTAGAAAAGACCTTAGGTGGACTGTGGCTACCCAAAGGCAATGGACAAGATGATGGGTATGCCAGAGGAAAAAGCCCTGAAGTGGTTGAGAGCCAGTTTGTACGGTGAAAGTGGCTAGTTTGTCTGTGGCTGGTGTTGGGGGCCAGAATAAGAGTCAGATGGAGCATTGGGAAAGTCTGCCGTCTTTTCAGCTGACCTGTAAGAGAGTTTAGACTTAAGAAGGATAATGGGGGGGGGGGGGGGTGGAGAGGTGAAAGTTTGTTGACACCAAGAGCCTGAACCAGTGCCATGGGACCTCCCTTACTCATCTATCTCCCCAAAGTGTCTGAGGGAATGATTGTGAGGGGCTTAAGGGGATGGCAGAGCCCATGGCTTGAAAGGAATGGGGTAAAGGTGGGAGGGGAAAGATAATCTTGGAAGCTCTTGGGCCGAACAACACATAAAGGTGGCAATGGGCACCATTTCAGGGGACAATAACATCAATGCTTAGAACCAGTGGCATGTTCTGTTCCCCTGATTTCACTTCTAGCCCCTGAACAGCTGCCCTTGAAAGCACTGTGGTCCAAATGTGATGGGCTGATGAGATGGCCAACATCAATTCTGTTTGTAACCTAACCCTAAGCCATGTAGGTTCCCTTCTCTGAGATTTCCCTGATTGTGTTTAGGTTTGACACCAACCAAGATCCTAAGACAAAGGAGATGGGGTGATAGTATTCACCTGAATATCTCTGTTGGCCTTCAGGACCAATCTCCAACTGTGAGACCCTGTTACTAAACTTGGACTCCTGTGATCAGTTGGAAATGTTGCTACTATAGCATCTTCCCTACTATGTAGCAACATCCCTGCTTGAGTTGTTTGAGGTCATTTCAGGGCTGGCAGTGGAGTTCCCTAGTCTTGAAATCCTGGGGACTTTAATCTGCCATTCCTGTATTTGGCCTCAAAGTGGCTCAAGAATTCTATGCTGTCCTACTCACTCACACACACAGCATGGTTGTAAGGCTCTTTATTAAGGTTTCCAAGTCTGAATTGATATTCCCCAGCAATTCCCTGTGCTGGCACCAGCTCAACCCCAATAAGTTTCATAGGCTTCTCAAATGAAACCAACACTAATCCTCAAAGCAATGGCAAGTCCAATCCACTAAGCCAAAGCAAGTTTCCAAGACAAAGGCAAATTCACCGGTAAAGGCAAGACAAGACAAAAGTAACAGCTGAAGAGACACAAGGCCTAAACACATAGCAAGGAAATGAACATATTGTTCCAACTGAATTTTGTGCTAAATATCCAGATTATGGTGCAGCCCATCAAGAGGATCAAGGCTACCTTCTCATGAGTCATCTGGCTGACCTTCACTGCTCCTACCTTTTCTCTACCCTATATGTTCTTGGATCAGGTGCAGAAGGCAGCTCCTTTTTCTTATTGCTGACCGGCTGTGGCTGCATGCTTTCCCCACTGAAGGCTCAGTGCTGTCATGCTGCAGCTGTGCTTCAAGTCAAATCACTTTCAGCCACTGACCAACTCCTGTTGACCATCTCCTCTCCTGATGAGCCCAGAACTAGTTCATTCTCCTTCAAGCTGATCTGGAGAGGTATCTAGGGGAGTCATCACAAGTTCATGTCTCCCATGGCCTATCCCAGATCAACTTACAGAAGAGCTGTAAATTCTGAAAAGGGATGGATCAATGGATGGATCTAAATCAATGCTGGAGGAAAACAGGGATCACTCCAACCATACACAAATTAAAGCTGCTATTAACACTTACTTCATGACAAGAGTGGTAAAACACCATTTGGTCACTCTTATTGTTTCAGAAGAGTGTTACCTGGAGGCTCTTTTCAGGATTACCTGATCCCTCCTGGAACAGGAGGCCTCAGGTGACCATGTTCAGGGCTGCATATAGGAATTTGTTCAATACCTGATGGACAGAGTTTCTTGGATTCATTCTCAGTTGGTGTAGATCTTGCAAGATGTCTGGGGAAATATATTTTCTGGTTATTTGGGAACAATTTGATCCTAGATGGATCAAATTTGGACCTGATGAAATGGACAAGATCCTCAATGTGGTCAGTGCAACCATCTATCAATTAAATCCCTCTTTATCCTGATTTTAAAAAGCCTCCAGGGTGCTGACTACCAAGTGGATTCAAGCAGTGATAAACTATTTACTGCAGGAAGATAGTCCCAGGCTTTTTAAGCAGGGGCTGGTGTCCTCCTTCCTCAAAAAAAAAAAAAAAAAGATCTCCTGGATCTTTTTGAAAAAGATCTATCTAAAAAAAATTATGCAGTTTCCCACTCACCCCCCCCCCTTTTTTTTTTTTTGGAATCCAGCAGGAGGTCATGTTACGAGTTTTGTCATCTAGTCAGCCATGTTTGGCAGGCAGTATGCAGAAGGTCTTTTCTGCTATGGTGCCAGCATTATGAAATCTTATCCCTTAATGTGAGTTTAGTTTTATTATGAGCTTGGCTCATCTTTCAGATTCATCTGCTGCTATCTTCCTATGAACAGGTGAATATTTTTAACGTACCTTCTATTATTCTTATTTTAGTTTTTTAGTTTAGTATTTTTAATATATTTTAACTGTTTTATCTCTAATGAACATTGCTCAGCACCACTGTCTGTGAGATGGTGGGGCAATATAAATTGGTTTCATTAGTTAATTAATCAATCTTAATCTGAATTTGAATCTAGGGTCAGATTTAGCAATTCTCCTAAACATGGAAAGTGTTTGTTATTTTCTTTACAGCTGATCCCCTAGTTGGAAGTATTGCTACTCAATATATAACAAATAGGGCGGAGCATGACAGAATGGCCAGACAGTGGACCAAGAGATATGCAACATAGGAAACTGCTGAAGAATATGCTGGACCTGTACAAGCACATTCACTAAGTGCATCAGTAACCCTCCTGTTTAATTTTTATTAAATTTTGAAATATTTTGTGATAGAGTTGATTATACTTCTCTCCTTTTATTATTTTACTTTTCTGCTTAATTTGAAAAGTGTATCTTTTTAATAGAGATTTGGAATTTGGGTTACAGTGCAAGGAATGTTGAACCTATAATAATATAGAGCTGCAGTCCCCAATCTTTCCAGCTCTGCGGACCGGCAGTTAGGGGTGGGAAAGGAAATGGATTTATATGTGTACGCACTGATTGTGCAAATGCAGCTTTATATGCTCATGCACTTGTCCACCACTTTCGTGGCCTGGTTCCCAACAGCTGACAGCCCAGCAGCAAGCTGGGGGTTAGGGACCCCTGGTGTAGAGCTTTGTCACAAAGCTTTATAGCAATGTATTTTTTTTCTTTTGTGTGTTTCAGAAAATCAAGCACGTTCAGAACTACATATTATTTCTACTTAAATGTAGTATTTAGGAGATTTTTTCATGGAAGTCTTTAAGGGGGGGGGGTGCATGTTACTGGGAATAGGTTTTCTATAAAAAGCATAAAATCAAGAATCACTGTGAATTATTAACACTATGTTTTAACACAAAGCTACTGGTTTGAACCACAGATATGTATGTTGATTTAATTATATATAAAAAGTGTTTGTAAATTTCTTAGGGACCTTTCACTTTTGATTATAGATTAGTTGATATACACTTGTATTATTAAAACACTCAATAAAAAACACTGACTAATAATTTGCAGTTTTTGTAAGGGAGTGCTTTTGTGAGAGAATAGAGTAAGTTCGCCCTGAATTTTTCTAAAGTATTTTTCATTTATTCTTTCTTCTAAGCTACCCATTTTTGGAAAATAAAACTGCAGTGTTGGCATTTTAGACTCATAGTAGAAAAGTTTATCTACTAAGCAAATTCTTAAATGTATCATTTTCTTACAATATTACTTAAAAATCTGTGAATTCTTTAGAATTTTCAATATTTGTGCATAAATAAGATCTTTTTCCCTATAAAAGTCCAAAACTAGATAAAAAGAATTCAGTTAAACAAATGACTCAAAAACATTACACTAGCTTATTTATTCAGGAAAATTATCCAAAAGTACACCTACATAATCACATACACATTGTGTATGTGATTATCAGTTCATTTGAAATGGAAATTACTCAGGTATTTCAGTCAATCGAATGATAATCAGGCATGAGTGCTACTTTATTTAAAGAACAGAAATTTGGGTAGTCACTGTCAAGGCCTGATCTTCACTGAGAGATTTAGAAGTGTCTCTCTGTCTCAAACAAACAAAGGGAATTTGTGAAGATTAAAAACAATGGTGGATATTGTCCAGGTGAGAAAAGATTAAAAAACTATTTCCAAAAAATTTGGAGTGTACCAGTCCACTATTAGACAGCTCATGTATAAATGGAGGCCATTCAACATAATTATTACCCTACCCAGGAATAGTCAAACAACCAAGATTGCAACAAGAGCAATGCATGTACTGGTCAGGGGATCTCAAAGAATCCCAGAAAAAGAAAATAAAGGCCTCTCTTTCATTGTAAAATATCAATACCACCTGTAGAATACCAAAGTATAATAGTATGCATGTCAGAGTTGCAAAGTGAAAGCCACTATCCTACAAAAAGAATATTGCTGCCTAGCTACATTTGCAAAAAACCATGTGGGTAAGCCAGAAGGCTATTAGAAGAATATTCTGTGGATAATAAAACTAAAATAGAATATTTTGGCTTGAACTATTCTGAGTCAAGAGAGCACTCAACCTAGAATCGTTGCATCTCCACAGCTGCTTTAAGGTCAGTCCTCCTTGAATTTTGTTTAGCACGAATTTGTGCAGATCATTAATTGACGAGATTCTCTTAAGCAATAAGTCTTCTATCCTTCACACCTGCATAAGAGATTTATCTCATATGTGAAAGAAGGTGGTTCCATCAAGGTTTGAAGCTGCTTTCTTAACTCTGGATCAGAATGGCTTGCCATCGTTAATGGTTCTATGACTTAATTGTACATAAATTGTACAGGAAAATGTCAGAGTATCAGTCCTTAAACTAAAGTTCAGGAGAAAGTGAGTCATGGTAGAATCAAGTAATGGTTAAAGCAGAAGTTAAAATGTCTTGGAATGGTCAAGTCAAAGTCCTGATTTTAATCTTACAGAGATTACAGTTCATGTAAACCAGCTCACTGGTATTTTATTTGAAGATGATTTGGAAAGAGGAATGGGTTTAGATTTCTCCAAGCCAATGTGCACGATTGATCATCACTTATCAGAAATAACGAGTTATTGCTTCCCAAAGGGATACTTCAGTTACTGACAGCAAAGGTTCACGTACTTTTGCCACACACAAATCTATAGTTTTGGATTATTGTCTTCAAATCAATGAACAACTATGTTTTGACTCATTTAATTTTAATTTATATAATTTAGCACATATAATGTTTTAAGTAATATTTATGCAGAAATATTGAAAATTCAAAAGGATTTTCAAACTTATAAGTACCACTATATATCACCAGAATATATCAGCAGGATTTGACATCTTAGCAGTCCATTTCAACTGACAAATTGCTATTCTAAAACGGAAGTAAGTATACAAGCATATGATTTTAATTGAGATGGTATCTGATTAGCATTTAGAGACATTGGTATGTATAAATATTGCTATTGTGTCACCTATGTTTATTAACCTGGAAAAAACTTGATCATACAGTCTATAGTATGAGTTTTATCTTGGACCAAAGAAAAGGAATAACCATCTTTGTAGAAAGCAATCTCTCAATTGAATACCGGCTTGTATTATTTTGTTGATGTCCCACAAAATATTGTCAGTGCACTTGTAAAGGATGTGCCCTTTAATTTAATTTTTTAATATCGATTATATATAATTAGTCATCTGTGAAAATATATTTCTTTACCCTTTTTGTTTACTCTCATTAGTTGGTATTGCAGCACATTCATATGAAATCATGAAGGGAAATATTGCTGTGAGCAAAGTTCATTTGGTTTGAAGAGATGAATTTTTGTTGCCCAATATATCCTTTTGCAAAAATGCTTAGGAGAATACAAGCTCTGTGAATCACTCAGTCATAAGAACTACTGATACTGAATAGATCATTACAAGAATAAGAGTTATTGAAGGAAATCTCTAGAATTTTATATTGGCAGATCTCAAAATACAAAGTAACTCTCTTAGAAGATGAAATTGAAAATACACCTAGGTAACTGACAGAATATCTTCAGGAAGTCTCAGAAGTGTTGTGGACCTTAGATATATTAGCAGCAGAACTTTTAAATAGGGAATATATATAGGAAAATATTACAGTACTCAAACAAAAAAGAAACAATTTTCATGCCAAATAAAGGAAAGTAATCAGAAAGATAAATATATTTATTGTCTTGTCCATACATCGGTGCATTTATCTAGAGATTAAGGAAATAGATACACATCTCCAAGAAATCACCTACATCAAGAAAGTGAAACCACACCTAAGGCATTCAGTGATTTCTTCAGTGCAGATTGCTACTATATCCTACATATATATGCTAAACGGTAGGTAAATTCAATAGTCACAAATAAACTATCCCAAATACTGGGCTATGATCATTATCACATAATAAATGGTGATGGAATTCTGTCAATTGCCCTACTTCTATATACAATAGTAATTGTGCCCAGTAGCATTCAAATAGAGGACTGATGTGTTTAAATATTTCACTTACAGATAGCAAACTATATTCAGGTTTTCTCTCTACATTGTTTTTAAAGCAACCCTTTTCTTAATAAGACTAGTTGTCATGTGCAATTATATAAAACAAATATGACCTAAACCATTCCACCATGTATTGTATTAATATATAGAACTGTTCAGAACTGACAATCAAACTACTTTTAGATGTGCTGAACTAAAAGACAGTATATTATGATCTGGAAAATATATGTTCCAGTGCTAATTCAAACTGACATTGTTTTCTGCAACTTAATTTGACAGTATTGGCTCACCCAATAACTCCAATTGTGCAAATACTTATTCGGTAGCATACTTCACTGAACTCAATTTTCCCAAGTCAAAATGTATTACACAAACAATAGAATTTCATATTAAGATTATTTTAGAAATTGTAAGAAGCATGTGTGACAGTGCTTTATTAGTTATTAAAACAAAAACATGTATTGAAATATATATTGTATGTTTAGATCCTTTTTATAAAATTTGATTGCAAAAGAATAAAATATTTTATTTGCAATTTTATATGCACTTTGTTAGTTCTAAAAAGCAAAGTATAGTATTTAGGAGTATCTGTGCATATGAAACTTTGAATTATTTAAGTAATTGTCATTTTTTTTCTTCCCGATTTAAAACAAATCTGAAATCGTTGTGTCGCTATTGTAAATTACTGGTATGCACTTTGGAATAGCATTAAGAATAATGCACTTTTAAATAATTCAGTTGGATTAGTTCTCAATGTTTATACTTCCTTTTCAAAAAGCTATTTTTTAACTCTCATATTTTAGTACAAACACAAACAATAGGTTTACAAGTCAGGTTTTCACAATTCATCCCTGTACTTCCATTATTTGATGTGAAGATCAAAAACAATTATGTCATTTAAAATAGCATCAATATGTTCAAGCAAGCACCAAGATGCAGAGTTGTAAAGAAAATTGTGGAGCAATATGTTCCATCATTGCTATCTACTTTATCTTTGCAATAGCTGATCATAGTTCCTATTGTCCCATTACTAGATTCTGGGAAGTATGAGGCTCACAGTCATGAAAAACATTCCAACTGGAAGATTTGCATACCACGTAAATTCAGCCAGTTATTTCATACCAACAATTTGAGGTAAACTTTTACAATGAACTATGAGGTTTTAATCCATTTTTTCTGTCATTCCATCAGGCTAGTATCTTGAAAATCCCAATAGCTTGATCTTCTAAATTTTCAGTGACATTCCAAAAGAGAAACAAGTCCATTTCTTTACATGGTTCTCTCTATCCCATTGTGGTTGTTGTAGTCCACACATACTAGTTCTACATATTTGTGAGCTGGAGTTTGAAACTAAGCAAGAGTTGCATGGATTCCCTGTTTTTATGACTTAATGTAAGTAGTATTCATTTATCCAATGATAAAAGTGTATGCACATTAAGGATTTTCAACATGCTATTTGCCTTGCTTTTTCTACTTACACATTCACAAAGTGGCAGGCAGGCTTTTTGCACATGGATAAAGAATGTTTTTTTAAAGGCCTCATTACCTGCTGTTTTGCTATTAGTAACCTGAAAAGGGAACTAGAGTTTCCTTAGATAAGAAACACCACTTATATAAGGTGACCAGATTTTCAGATTGGTAAAGAGGGACACCTTTGACCAGGGGTGGGGCTTGATTAAAAATTTTATATGGAGCAACAAAAATTTTCATACAACGCAAAAATAGTATTGTAATATTTTTTTTATTTCAACATAACTACAATTTACAAATATAAATTGTAACTGTTGCCAAACATCAAAATTTTGATCACGTGACCATGAGGATGCTGCAACGGTAGCTCCCCCCACCCCCAGTCAAAGGTATCCCTCTTTACTGAAAATCTGGTCACCTTAGTGATGGAGCACCTACAACCTCTGGTGGCAAGCTGTTCCCCTGGTTGTCCTCACTGTTAGGAAGTTTCTCCTTAGTTCTAGGTTACTTCTCTCCTTGATTCATTGCTTCTTTTAAATTATTTATTTATTTATTAAGAAAATTGATATGGCCGCCCAACTCACTCATGATGACTGGGCAATTTACTGAAGTAAAACTCCATTACAAAACCCAATAAACTCTCAACTCTCCTGGTGATCAGATGTTGAGGCTCAGTGCAGAGAAGAGCGACAAAGAAGATTAGGAAAAATGGGAGGCTAAAACATATAAAGAAAGGTTGCTGGAACTGGGTTGTTGTT